CCCTCAGGGCTCCCCCCCCATCCCCCCTCAGCCCTCCCCCCAAGGCTGCCCCTCCATCCCCTCTCCTTCGCCTCAGGGCTGCCCCTCCATCCCCTCTCCTTTGCCTCAGGGCTGCCCCTCCATCCCATCTCCTTCACCTCATGACTTCCCCTCCATCTCTGCTCCCTCGCCTCAGGGCTGCCCCTCCATCTCATCCACCTCAAGGCTGCCCCTCCACCTCACGGATCCATGTGGGTTCGAGCTGCGCCGCCCCACACCCACCGCCCTGTCCAAGGGCATCAGCCCTCCTGCCCTGCGTCTGAGGACAAACCCGCTGAAATACCCCCAGCAAGATCCAACTAAAACATCGCCATTAATACCCTCCATAACCACCTAAGTCAGCAGCAAAGCAACCCTCCGTCACGCTCAGCCAGCCATCAAACGCCAACCTGGAGCAAGCAACGTGCTCAGCAAATGCCAGGGAAATGGGAGCAGGTGAAGCTGTACCCTCGGGCCCCGGGCTGCCTTCGAAACCACAGCCGACAATGTGCTTTAAAAACCCCATCTCCCTGTCCCCTTCCCCAGCACGGGCAGAGCCCAGCGCATCTCACGCACACATCTGCGTGGTAGTGCTGCCTCGGAGGATTTACTACGGTTTGCCTGGCTTACACCCCATCCAGCCCCCGTTGGCTTTTTTGGACCCTGGCAATCTGAGCTTGAGTATTTCAGTTGTCCAGTTGCCAATCAAAATATTTGAAGGAAATGTTTATTTTCTTCTCGAAATCACACCAGCTGCTGCACTAACTGAATAAGCCCATTTAGCTGTAAGAATTTAACCATTGTAAGAGTGAATTGAGTCCCCCAACTACTCCAAAATCTGACCCAATCTATCAGCGGAAATGTCAATGTTTTGGATGGGAGTTTGGGGAAGTGTGGAATGTGTATTAAATAAAAGCCATGTAAAGGTCAAAGCCCTGATTAGTAATGCCACTGTCTCCTCGTTAGAGCTGTGCTGCCCAGGGGACCGTGGGGGCTGGGACACACCCCGTTATTTAATTGTGCAGCTGCAATTTGCACCTTTTGAGGACCCCCAAGTCCCCCTGCACGTGGGGCCGGATAGAAACTGGCTTTCTAAGCTGCTCAGCCCCTTTCCAGATAAAACAACCGTGCTCAAGTGACACAGCAGCTTTCTTCTGGCTTTAGAGACAATATGGGTCTTTTCTTGGGCGGATGGCAAGGAGATAAATGCAAAGAGCTGCCTCGGAGTGCCTGGGATGGGAGCGAAACCTCGGCTGGGTCGTGGCAGAGCCAGGCAGGGCGGCAAGGGCTGGTTATGAGCATGGAGGTGGGGAGGCTG